AACGCCTCACATGCTGCTCCAGTAGATGCTACATTTACTGATGTTCCCTGAACGCCTCACATGCTGCTCCAGTAGATGCTACATTTTACCGATGGTCCCTGAACGCCTCACATGCTGCTCCGGTAGATGCTACATTTACTGATGTTCCCTAAACGCCTCACATGCTGCTCCAGTAGATGCTACCAGGTGTGTTCAGTGCAGCTCCTCTGACAGGTGAGCGACCAGACACTAGTTGGAAAACAGTGGAAAACGCGTTCTACACCAATTTGCTGAAGTTGAAAAGTTTTCTATTAGCAGCGTTTTTAAGCAGAGGTTTTTATGAGTGGAGCGCATGTTAAAGGTCCAGACCACTGGCCGTCATGTGGTCCAAACCGTGATCGCTGGTAAAATGTGAACCTTCAGATTGAATGTGGGGCGACTGTTTCTTCTGGACTGACTCAGTCCAGATCTCTCTGCCTGCACCTGGACACTACTATCATCAGGTGTGTCGGACCTCTCCCTCTCTCACCTCACTGCCTTTTTTTTCTTTTTATAAACATAATCGGCTATGTATCGTTGTGTCATTGGAACACAGTAACCGTGAAACTGACTGTTTTACCTTCAGGCAGAGAGACACTGAGTCACTGTGGAAGAAATATGACTATTTCCAACCACAGTACCTGGACCAGCGGCTACCCGGACCAGCAGCTACCTGAAGCAGCAGCTACCTGGACCAGCAGCTACCTGGACCAGCAGCTACCTGGACCAGCAGCTACCTGGAGCAGCTACCCGGACCAGCAGCTACCTGGACCAGCGGCTACCCGGACCAGCAGCTACCTGAAGCAGCAGCTACCTGGAGCAGCAGGTAGCTGTGCTGAGTGAAGGAACCAGATCAGCCTGATGATCATCGTTCACTTACACAACGTGACACTTCAGCTCACACAGGCTCATAAACGTATGAGAACATGTTGGTCTCAGTCTGGAGCCCTGTGTCGGCACATTGCTGTGTTATTAATCCTATTAGTTGATCAGATGAGGAAACACATCTCTCGCCCGCGGGCCTTGAGTAGGACATATGTGCTTTATTACTTGAGCAGTTTATGCCCAGTGCTCATACAGGATTAAATGCGTTTAAAGCATTACTATTAAAGGTAATGTGTCTCTGTTGCATTTTATCTGAATTTAAANAAGAGGAGCAAACGTTTCAGTCCTGTGCTCTTCGTTAGGCTTCCACTGGATCCTTTATTACAGCGGGTCAAACTCATGTTCATCCTGGGCCACATTATGTTTACCCTCAAAGGGCCGGCTGTAATTCTAAGACTGTATAAACGTAATGACTCTTTAACATATTGGTAAATAACTGTCTCTACATTTGATTGTTGTTTATTATATGTACAGCTATTGTATATGCCTTTATCTAAAAGTAAAATACATGTAGCAGGGCTCCACACTAACTTCCAACTGTCTGTGTTGGTCGCACCAGCTGATGATTTGGTCCACCGCCTTGTTTTGGATCAGCACTGTCGCAGCTATTAATCCACCATGCAGCTGATGAACAGCTGTTTCTGCATGACTTAGTTCTGTTGCCGTGATCGTCAGTGATACAAGACTTATATTATATATATTTGTAAAATGTTTTAACCTGAAAATATATTTATTCTGTCACCAGTCCTCTTCTGATATCAGTCATTAACTGAACACAGGCTAAACGCTTGCTGAACATGCGTATGAGTAGAAGCTACATTTACTGATGTTCCCTGAACGCCTCACATGCTGCCCCGGTAGATGCTACATTTACCGATGTTCCCTGAACGCCTCACATGCTGCTCCAGTAGATGCTACCAGGTGTGTTCAGTGCAGCTCCTCTGACAGGTGAGCGACCAGACATTTGTTGGAAAACAGTGGAAAGAGCGTTCATCACTGATTGGCTGAAGTTGAAAAGTTTTCTATTAGCAGCGTTTTTAAGCAGAGGGTTTTATGAGCTGAGCGCATGTTGAAGGTCCAGACCTCTGGCATCATGTAGTCAAAACCGTGATCGCTGTTAAAATGTGAACCTTCAGATTGAATGTGGGGCGACTGTTTCTTCCGGACTGACTCAGTCCAGATCTGTCTGCCTGCACCTGAACACTTTTATCATCAGGTGTGTCGGACCTCTCCCTCTCTCACCTCACTGCCTTTTTTTTAATAAACATAATCAGCTATGTGTGGTTGTGTCACTGGAACACAGTAACAGTGAAACTGACTGTTTTACCTTCAGGCAGAGAGACACTGAGTCACTGTGGAAGAAATCTGACTATTTCCAACCACAGTACCCGGACCAGCAGCTACCCGGAGCAGCAGGTACCCGGACCAGCAGCTACCCGGACCAGCAGCTACCTGGACCAGCAGCTACCCGGACCAGCAGCTACCTGGACCAGCAGCTACCCGGAGCAGCAGCTACCTGGACCAGCAGGTACCCGGACCAGCAGCTACCCGGACCAGCAGCTACCTAGACCAGCAGCTACCTGGACCAGCAGCTACCTGGACCAGCAGCTACCCGGACCAGCAGCTACCTGGACCAGCAGCTACCTGTGCTGAGTAAAGGAACCAGATCAGCCTGATGATCATCGTTCACTTGCACAATGCGACACGTGACACTTCAGCTCACACAGGCTCATAAATGGTCACGTATGAGAACATGTTGGTCTCAGTCTGGAGCCCTGTGTCGGCACATCGCTGTATTATTAATCCTATTAGTTGATCAGATGAGGAAACACATCTCTCGCCCGCGGGCCTTGAGTTGGACATATGTGCTTTATTACTTCAGCAGTTTATGCCCAGTGCTCATACAGATTAAATGCATTTAAAGCATTACTATTAAAGGTAATGTGTCTCTGTTGCATTTTATCTGAATTTAAAGTGTTTAAAGTGCAGAACAGATGCCTAAAAAACATTTAGTTTGACTGAAACAGGCCGAGCTGGTCTGTCCTGAATATTGTCCGTGGTTGTGAACTTTTCTGCGCTGGACCAACAAACCTCGGTAGTGCTGGACTTTATAGGTAAAGAAAAATAATAATTACACAACATTTATTTGACAGCTACAGCTATGAGGGACTATTTTAGATTATTTTTTTTCCAGCCCACCTGCTGCTTTATATTAATTGAACCTGGAGCTGGACGATGTCTCATCTTGTTGGGATTCATGTAATAAATACCTGCTAATCCAGCAGCATTAAAACAAATGTGTTTATTTGGTTTATTATGTTAACGTTCAGTTTTCCAGAACTTCCAAACACTTTCGGCAGATAATTATAGTTTTAGTGACGGACTGAGTGGATCGGCTAGAAGTTTGTGAGTCTTCTTTAAAATCTGCAGGTCCGTTTCATCCCACTTCTTACCAACACGACCAGTAATATCAGCTCCGTCTTCTGCTGCTGAAGATTTATTTTCACAGACGACATATTTCCTTCTCCGAAGCGGTTTTGTCTCAGAGATGCCACAGCAGTCTTCTGTGTGAGCCGTCCGCCAAATCTGAAAATGTTGGTACTGACGGAGCCAACATGATGGTCTGCTGCCGGTACCGAGTGATGAGAACAGAGCATCCGTGGACCGGTTCAGCAGTTTTCTCCCAAAAAAGAAAAGCGCTTAAGTGGAGCATCCTGATGAGAACTTCAGACTAGAGCAGGTCTGTGATGTATGCTGGCCAATCAGCACTTCATGCACCTACAAAACAACCTGACTCAGCAGATTGGGACTTTGGGTGCCAACGCGGTGGCCGACGAGGAAGTTGGTTTCACACACTGGTGTGGAGTAAATTAGCTCCGACTTTGCCCTGTGGGAGATAAAACCCTGCCAGGAGAAATAACTACCGGCTCTCTGAGGGAGACACCGGTAGATTGTTTTTGGCTCATTACGCGCACAAAGGTCGGTGGTTTGATGCCCAAAACGTGTACACGTCTTAGCGTTAGCATAAATGCAAGCCAGCTAGCCAGTGGTTCATCTTTTGAACATGATCAGATTGTATTTTTTTGGGTTTTTTTTTTCAAACGAGGCGAATTAAAAGAAAAAAGAACATGCAAAAATGTGTTAAGAGTTGGCTGAAGGGTTAATAGTTATCTGCTGGTGGGATGCAACATATAAAAGTAAAGAAAAGGTAAAGGAAAGAGCAAATCCAAGCAGAGAATCTACGTTAAAGTATTAATGTCAAAGAATGGTGGGAGACATGTAAACTTTAGACATCAAGCTGAAAAGGACAAAACACATCCAGCCCAAAAAAGAGAGTTTACGAGTAAAGAGCAAAAAGAAAATGTCCATCACTTTCAAAAAAAGGACAAGAAATGTAAGAAAATCAAAGAAGATAAAAATTGGAGGAGAAAGGGTAAGTTTGGTTTCCCTTGTCATGCAAATCAGTTTGGCATTGGGGGAAAAAATACCTTCGTCGTCCGTGCGGTCACTATCACCTAAATCATCAGTGTGTTTCTTTGTAAGGGGACCTATAGGACCAAGAAGGAGAAGATGGAGGAAAACAGGGTGATCAAGAACACACACAGCTTTCAAAAGATGCTCTCAAAAGACAAGAAAATTTGTCAATAATCATTGATTTTTATAGCCCCTCCTGTTTTTGTTTTTTTCTTTTAAGAAAAATGGTCACGCCGACAAGGGTAAACATTACCACAACGTCCACTTGGTAACTTACATGAGTTCAGTTAAGAAAGTTAAAGAGCAAGAAAAGAGGGACTTAAAAAAAGAGGCAAAAAATATTAGTTCTCAGTTTAAAAATTAACTGAAGATAAACTTCTTAGGATCAAAAGACATCAAGCTTTTCTTTTTTTCTTAAAACAGTGCATAGAGAAGCATAAATTACACATTCCAGAGACATTGTGTTAACAGTCGGACGTGATCAGTGCAGCTGAGAAACAAAAATGAAAGAAATAAAAGCTGTAAAAGAAGCAGCATTTTAAAGAGCAGAGCACTTAACAGAAGCACATGACAACCCCACCGTGCTGTACGTTCACGGCGTTTAACCGTCTTCAGGCTGAACCACAACACACACCGCGGTCACACACTCTGCAGGGCGTCGGAGGGTTTAACGGTGAAGCGAGAGCAAACGGTGCAGGCACACGGCTTCCTGTGTAGCGTCCAGTTCAAAAGGTTTGGAATGATTATGGTGTGTTTTGGGTTTTTTTCCCCCCAAATGTACAGTCAGATGTGTTCATAGCCTCCCATTAAAGAAGGAAAAACAGCTTGTGTCACTGAAATAAGTTGAAACTGACAAAAGCAATAATAAATAAAAATTTGTTAAATTATAATTTAGTGAAATAAAACATTGCTTTTGAATTATGCTTGAAAAGAATAAAGAAAATAAATAAATAAAAACAAAAAAAATAGTAAACAAGGGCTCTCATTTGTTCGGGACCGTTTTTTTTTCTTTTGTATGTGTGTGTGTTTATTTTTTTTTAATTATTCTTTCCAAACACAATTCAAAAGCAACATCTTATTTCACAAAATTCTAATTTAGAATTTTTTTATTTATTATTAATTTTTTTAGTTTCTAGTTATTTGAGGGACTGTTGTGAGTTTTGTCGACTGTACATATTTACTTATTTCACTTCTTTTGCCAATAAACACATCCTGTTGATTCAAGTTGCACAAAATAATGCACAAATAATCCTAAATACCATCAGTACCAAAAATTCTTGTGTGCTTCAATAAAAGCTCACTATTGTGGGACATTTGTAGTCTTGCTGAGGGCTGGACAGGAAACTGAGATCCTGCTGGTGTCTGCAGAGTAAACTGTGGAGGTGGAGACAGTAGCTGCTCTCTCCACCTCTGAGCTGAGCTCAGTGTGAAGACTGCAAACAGGGGAAGTGACTGGATCTGCAGTGAAACATCAGGAGAGAACAAGACAGAAAGCTACTGAAACATCTGCATGATCCAGTTTGCTCTCTCCACACCAGAACCAACTGCATCCTTTCATGACGCTCGAGGACGAACACGGTCGTCTGCTGCTGGATCTTCATCCAGACACACAGAGACTCATTTAAAACAGATTCCCAAACATCTCGAGCAGCTTCGTCGAGTGTGCGGCTCTCAGTGTGGTTGTGTTTGGTCTGAGGCTTGGACGGGGGAGTGGTCAGGTGCTTCTTCAGATAAACCAACAGTTTGTCATCTTAACACCGTGTGCACACACACACACACAAACACATGCCACCTCCAACACACACACTGGAAACACACAGCGATGCACACACACGTTACATACAAGATCAGAAACATGCAGTCTTGAGGAACAGGATGTAAGCTAGCATGGCCGTGACACACACACTCACACACATGAAGCAACATGGACGCCAACGGGCTTCAAAACGTCATCAGTGATGTGGAACATCTCTGTCCAACAAACACCAGCAGGACTGCACTTCTACACAATTCACTGCAAACCGACTTTATGGGACGATGCAGCATCCTGTGTGACGTCACTGCGAGAAGATGGCTCATATTGAAAGGAGAAAAATTAAATAAAACAACCCTGTTGATTGGCTGATCCCTTCATGAGAAGACAACTGAAGCTCGTTCTAGTCGCTCGTCTCAGCTCCTCCATCATTCAACATCCTGATGGTTTATTTTAAGGCCAATAATTTCTTTCCAGTGACATAAAAAAAGGCTTCCTGCACATCATTCTGTCCTGCAGCAGTCTCCCAGCTCTCTTTTGTAACTCTGACAAGCGATGTGATAAGCGAGAGCTGACTCGTGCTTTCTACGTGCTGAATAAGCACCAAGACACAAGACGGGCTTCTCTGGAAATGTGGACCATCTAAGAAACGCAGAGCCAGCGCCGTCTGGAGGTGTGTCGCCTGGTTCTGGAGGGTAGAACGATAAATACAGACGGAGGGGAACTCATGTTAGCCTGCTAGCATGTAGAGCACTCTCTAGGACATGTTTAAGAACGTCGTTTTTATGTGTTCACTCTTTAACCGTTAGCCTCCTAAACTCTGCCTCCCATCGTTCTAAATGCATGTCGGACAACACAGCACTGCTCCTGACACTTCATTTATTCAGAGGAAAATGTGGCACTATTAAATAGGGATGGACCGATACCTCTTTTTGATTTCCGATACCGATACTTCAACTTTGAGTATCTGCCGATACCGATACCATCTCTCCTCCTAATCTTCTTTAGAAATACCTTATTTGCATGGATACATTTGTTTAAGATGCTTTATCAAAAGCCTCATACTATTAAAGCACAGACTTTGCTTTTCTAAGAAAGGAAACAAGCCAAAAGCATGTCTCACAGTGAAACTGTAGCTGCTTTATCTGAGCTGCAGTCAGACTACAGTGTGCACTCAGAGCCATTCACATA